TTATTTATCGAACGAAGCATATTTTGACAGTTGTCAAGACAAAAATAAAGATTAATAGAGGAAAATTTCAAAACAAGTAAGACAGACAACACATCCAAGCAGTACTCACAATAACAATAACAAAAAATTGTATCATATAAAAAACTAGTACGTACGAAGATATACAACAAATATAACCAAAATAAAAATTTTTTTAAAGCAAAAAAATTAATAAACAAAAAACTTAAAAATAAAAAAAAATTTTAAAAAACAAACAAAAAATATGGATAGCAATTTAAGGCCTTAGAATGGAAAAAGAACATTAATGCTAATGTGTAAACATAATTATGTAGTGATAAAGTAATAAACATCTCCTCAGAGTCGCGTCTATTATTACAGGCGTTTCGATGAGGATCAGCACTTATAACTAGTTTATCCCGTCAGACAAACGTCATCGCCACTTGTGCTTTACCCCGCGACTTACGCCTTATCCATACTGCAGTAAAAAAGGACTCACTACAAATAGCCAAAACCCCACCAACCCAAAATTTGTAAAACACTAATGTTTTTTTAAAAATATGATATGAAAAGTGTAGATAAACTGTAAAAAATAAATAAAAATACCTAAATAAATCACTTACCATACCACCGAAAGAAAACATGAAAGCACAATAAATTAAAATTCTAATCGAAACATAAAAATATAAATAAATTCAATTTAAGATCTAAAACCAGATAGGTATTAATAGCATAAATAATCCAAAGATAAACAGAAATCAGAATACCTCATTAAAAAAAATTTTTTTAATCAACAAAACAACAATAGCCTTAAATAAACTCTAACGCTGTCATAGATACCTCGTTCGAAATGTGATAACCAATCAAAAGTGAAGGAAAATGAAAAACCCGCGAAACCTAGAATCATAACAATGATAGAACAATGTGTGGTTGCGAAAAAATCGTCGCACAAAGACATTAATAAAATAACCGGCATAAATGTAGACATTAAATGAAGGATATAAAAAATTCCTCTGAATAATAATAAAAGATGAAAATTGTGTATATGAAAATTCAAATAAAGTTGAGTAATCAATGCAAGATAATAAATAATAAAAAAAAAAAAAATTCATAATAAACAGTAATAATATGAAAATCAGCAGATAAATAATATATTAAAGAATATTGCAATAAGAAAAACTAAATACTATAACAAAGCCAGATAAATTTAAAATAAATGAGTGGTTAAAAATTTATTTTGGGCGATGTAACAGTCATATAAGTCGCGATATAAGGATCAATACTTGGATCACTACTCTATCTGTTTATATTAACAACTTACATAGGTTTTCTAATATTTTTACAACAATTTTATTCGCCGATGACACAAACTTGTTTTACTCTAATAGTAACTTCGGCTCTTTATTTGAAACAGTCAATAAGGAACTCACAAATTAACAGAATGGTTCAAATAGAATAAACTATACTTAAATATAAGTAAAACCAAATACACTCTTTTTCATAGACTCCACGAAAAAAAAAATATTCTACTGAAACTTCCCTATCTTTGTATTGATAATTTCAATATAAAAAGACAGCACTCGTGCGTGTTCTCAGGAATATTTCTAGACAAAAATCTTTCATGGCGTGAACACATAAGTACAATAGAAAACAAAATATCAAAAAACATCGGCCTTTTATATAAAACTAAAAGGTTTTTAAACCAAAACTGTTTAAAAAAAATATACTTTTCTTTTATCCACAGCTACCTTAATTATGGGAACATTGCTTGGTGCAGGACCAACGCAACCAAAATAAAAAAACTACTCAGTCCACAAAAACATGCTATACGAATTATTTCAAACGAAAACAATTTAACGCCTTCTAAAGGTTTATTTAATAAACTAAATATACGCAATGTTTATCAACTAAACATTTATCAGATACTTATTTTCATGTACAAATTTGATAATAAAATGACAAGATATAAATTTGATAATAAAATGACTAGATATGGCCAGTATTTTGATTGGCCCCACATAAAAGGTTTAGTTGGGGCCCAACTAAAATTTGGCCACAGGCGCCACATGGGGCCTATATGGGATACTTCATAAAATAAAAAAAAAACCTCCCTACATTTTGTACTATGAATATTACTTGATTTTATATTGGTTAAAAACACAGTAGGGTACTAGTACTTAGCTAAATAAAATGAGCAATGTGTTTTACCTATACTTAAAATAAGTTTGTTAGCATACTTATATTTGTATCATCATTTATTATTTTTGTTTATTATTAAATAGTTTAGTCGACAATTTGAATGGACTGTTCAGATATCTGAACAGTCCATTAATCTGGAAAATCTGGAATTACACTATATAGTGTATTTCCAGGGTTCAGAGAGGATTTTAAGTTTAGATAGTATTTTTATATAAGCATACTGTTCAGCGAACATAATACGAAAAAAAAGCAGTAAAAACAAAACAATGCTTTGTATTATATATTATATTATATATTTGTATTATATAATATTTGTATTATATAATATATTATATATTTCATATTATTCATCATTTTATGTCCAAATGAACTTCTCGGTGAGGCCTTGTGTTTATAAAGGCTTTAGCATGTTTGGCTCGTTTATCATATCAGTCTTGTGACGCAAAGCCAAGCCCCTCACATTCGATCATTGATGTGCATTCCTTTTTACAGTTTCTGCAAACAAAATAATTTAGATTTGAATAGTAACTCATAAAAAAAGTAATATTAACAAATTTCAAAAAAAGCAAATAATTACTTACAACTTTTCTGGAGTTATATTTACTTCAGTTCATATGTATTTGAGTTTATTGCTATTATAACACTATTAAGGTCAGTATCCTCCACAAGAGTGCAACCTCCTTGATCAAGTTAGCAACCAACCTGTTAAGACAATAATGTTAATACTTGAAGAACAAAAATTAACGAGTTTGAATGGTTTCTAAAGTCCTAAAAAAAGGAACACATAATAAACTGTAGAAACTATTTTCTACAGCTTATTATGTAAGTTTTTTTTTAGAACTTTAAAAACCATTCCAACTTGTAATTTTTGCTCTTCAAGTATTCCTCATCGTCACCTCCCAGATCCCTCATCTTCACTTTCCTTAACACAGAAGAAACTATATATATATATGTATATATATTTATATATATACATATACATATATATATATATATATATATATATATATATATATATATACATATATATATATATATATATATATATATATATATATATATATATATATATATATATATATATATATATATATACATATATATATATAAATATATATATATATATATATAAATAAATGTATATTAAAAAGTTAATTTTAAGTATTTATACCTAATTCCAAGTAAAAATATATATATATATATATATATTTATATTATAGTATATTATATATATACTATATATATATATATATATATATATATATATATATATATATATATATATATATATATATATATATATATATATATATATATATATATATATATATATATATATATATATATATATATATATATATATATATATATACTTTTAATAAGCGAATTCTCCCTTTTTCTGAAAACTTTAATTTTACTCTTGGTCTTTGGAAGTTGCTAAAGTATATAATAAATAAAGTTAAAAATAAATTAAGTATACAAAATATCTTTCGAGTAATGATAACTATGTTCAAAATCAAATACCTTATTACTTGTGACATTGATACACAGAAGTGGTAATTGCAAACCTGCAAATTTGAGTATCTGCAAAAGATCTGACATTGCTGCATGAGAAATGTTGTAGGAAGAGCACCAATTAGATAATTTGTCTTTAATGTCAAATTCGCTATCAATTAATTCACTAAAAGAATTTTCTTCTGTATAAGAGGCATTTTCAGATTATCGGATATATCTATTATCTTATCGGATGAAAATTTAAGCTCATTATCAGAATTGTTGTCAATGATATTTGATTCATTTTTATCACTTATTTCTGAAGCATTAGGCAGAGATAATTCAGAAGTTGGTAACGGTAATGTTTTGTTAACATATATTTCATTTTGGAACTTTTCTGCTGCTATCTTTGAAAATGTTGAATCACCAGCATTTTTCACTTTTCTACGCTTTGTTCTTGAGGAGTAATCCATAATAAAGTAACCTAATAAATTTTTTTAAATACAGTTTTAAGTAATAAAAATTAAAGTTTACTTATTTAATTTAAACAAGTTTAAAGATTTTTTATTAAAAAAGAAAATTAATTATAAAGTTGAAATTAGAGATTAATATAATATATATATATATATATATATATATATATATATATATATATATATATATATATATATATATATATATATATATATATATATATATATATATATATATATATATATATATATATATATATATGCTTTCCAATGGATTTTGGGAGCAAGCATCCGTATATATTAAACTACATTGATTTCTAAAATAAAAAAACAAAAATATTTAAGCTTGCAGAAATTTTTTATTTATTATAATTCAATTATGTATCTTGTTGTTTTTAGGGGTAATATTAAAAAAAATCTGAAAACTCAGTCGGTTTATTCGAATTGAATATGGCGAAGCAATGATAATGTTATTTGGGATAGTAAAATTCTTATAATAGGTATTTTCAAATAAAAAAAATTTAGAAACAAAAAAAATTTCGAAACATTTAAAATTTGCGCAATTTTGAAGAGTTCTTAACTGGTATTCTATGGTTTGCGTCATAGGGTTAAAATGACGTCAAATCACAATTTTATATGATTTAGTTATTTATTAAATATTCATTTTTTTATTTTTTATTTACTCTATCAATATTATCATTTAAAGTTTCCTATTTTTCATGCGTTTATAATGTAAACCATTTTGATAAAAAAAATTTTAATATAAATATTTAAAAAAAATATTTAGCGAATTAAAATGAATAAATTTATAAATTTTATATATTTGTTTTTAAATAGATTGCTGCTATGAATAACTCAGTGGAATTTTTCATTGCAAAAAAAAATTATAACTCAAGATTAAAAAGAGGTAAAAATTAAAACCCTACATCACTTTTTTCTTGTCTATATCTCTCACTTCTTGCACATGCAATATGTCATTTCGAAACTAAGAATCCGTGGCGCAGTGGTTAAAACTTGCTTTGGTTATTTACTTTTTAATCATATAAGATGTTTAAAGAAGTGCAAAGAGTATTGCAATTTGAGCTGCCGTGGCGCAGTGTATAGAGTTCTGGCTCAGAATTCAGAGGTCCGAGGTTCAACGCCAGCTCTAGCCCAAGTGACATTGGTACGGAAGGATGCGTAAACTTCCTGTTAAATGCTCTCCCGCGGTGCTTTATGATAAGACCGTAAGAACTTCTAAGAGCACCTAAATACATACAAAAAAATATATATATATATATATATATATATATATATATATATATATATATATATATATATATATATATATATATATATATATATATATATATATATATATATATACCCTATATATTTTGTCTGGCTAAATATATAGTAATGCTTAGCGATCGACCGAAATTTTATTTCGGTATCGGTTTAAGCTAAATTTCGGTTGAAAAACATACCGAAACCGAAAAATTTGTAAGGTTTAAAATTTTCATCTAATTTAAAAAAACAGTTATTTTTGAAAAATTTCACATGATATTTTAAGAACTTTCACCTAAGTTTTGAGAATTTTCTGTGGCACCTACCTAAAAAAATTCAAAATTTTCAAAGTTTAAATTATAATTTTTTCTGGTCAAATCAAAATTGCTGATTCTGAAAATAAGATAAAAATTAGACTAAACATTATCTAAAGTAGCTTAATTTAGCATTTGAAAATGTTTTTCAAATGCTAAATTAAGCTAAAGAACTTTTAAGTTCCTTAGCAAACGTCGGAGCAACCAGGGTAAAACCTGAATTTATTTTATTTTCCATCTTAAGTGTGTTCATTCAGTATGGAAATTAACTTTATAGCCTATAGAGCTTCTTGTTTAAACTTAAAGACATATTTCCAACCTATACAACGATGGTATTTGCATATATATTTAGTATCTTTTAGTATAGTATCTTTCGCTTACATTGATTGATCTATAACTGCCTTAATCCAAACCCTTAGTCGATGTATCAGCTTTCCCTTACACGTTATCCTTAAACCTCATTTTGAGTCATAGTATCTTTCGCTTGCCATATTTACTGGATGCATGTAATGCAAATTAGGTTAAGTTCTTATTATTGAATAAAAATAATTATTTACTTAAATGGGCTCAACTAGCAGAAATATGAAACCAAAGGCTAGAAAAAGAAAATTTTATGGTAACAAATTCACTCTAAACCAATTAAGTTCTAGTTTGTTCAAACATACAACAAAAGAAACAAATGAAATTAGTATACCTGCATCAGCTAAAAAAATTAGGTATGACGAATTCAAATATGAATTAGATACAAGTTGCAGTCAAGGTATTGAGTGCTATGTTTTTTTTAGCACTCAAATCTTTAAAGACATTATCGATAAAGTTGGTTTGTGTCCACTATGTCTTGGAAAGTTATGTTTTAATCATAATATTGAAAAAAAAAGGATTATCACATCTTTTTATACTTGCTTGCTACTTTGTACCTGTGAATAAAAACGTTTTATACCTCAAAAAAAGTTTCAAGTTATAACAACAAAGGTGGTAAGGAATATGATTTTAACTATCGCTCTGTTTTAGCATTTAGTGAAATTGGAAAAAATCATTTAGCTATCAAACGCTTTAGCTATTGTATGGACTTGCTTCAACCAATGTCATTAAAATGTTACGTTAAAAACAAAAAACTTCACAGATCTTATGTTTCAGAGTCTGGAAAGTCAATGAGAAAGGCAGCAGAAGAATGTTCAGTAGATGATAATTCTTCTATAAAAAATGTTACTGCAAGTTTTTATGGATAATGGCAGCGTCGTGGATTCAGCTCCAGGAATGGAGTAGTTACTGCTTTTTCAAACGGTAAGTGTATAGATGTTGAGACATAAACAAAAAGTTGTAAACAGTGCCAATATTGGAAATGCAAAAAAGGCACTTCTATATATTACAGTTGGAAAGCAGTACGCAACTGCCCTATTATTCCTAAATGAAGTTCTTGTTCAATGGAGACAGCTGCTACACTAAAAATCTTTCAAAGATCCATTAATACAAGAAAACTTAGATATTTATTTTATCTGGGCGATGGGGATAGTAAATGTTTTCTTGAAGTTTTTAAAAATAACCTTATTCTGGATTAACAATAAAGAAACTAGAATATGTTGGCCATGTCTAGTAAAGAATGGGAACACGTTTACGTGCAATAAAATTTTCACTTAAAAGAAAAACTTCCTGCTGTAATTGCAGATGATATAAATGTATTTTCATTATAAAGATTTAGGCAATAATAATTTAATTGAAGCTTGTCTTCATAGTGAAACACACAACGTTAATGAAGCTTTGCATAGTTTAATATGGAAACGGTGCTCCAAAGAAGTTTTTATAGGAAAGTTATTAATTGATATAGCTGTAGCATCCGCAGTGATATGATTCAATGAAGGTGGTTGTGGTTTGTTAAGGGTTTATCATAGCTTTGGTTTGCTACCTGGTCAATTTTGTATATATGGCTTACGTAAATATGGTAAAGAACGCATAAAAAATATTTAAAAAAGTCCAGTGATATTGTTAAAAAAGCTCAGAACAATAAAAAAAGGTTTTGATGATAGAAATATTGCTACAGAAAATGAAATGTATGCTTCTGGAACTTTTTAGGTTTTATAGTAATTTTTTAGATAAGTTTTTATTCTTTAAATGAGTTTTTCTCAGATTCGCATTTTTTTTACCTTGATCCTGAATAACTTATATTCTATATTGTCAAATTTTTTGAAATTTGTTGGATTTATTCATTACATAAAAGTCTATGTTCTGAACTAAAAAAGAAATATATATATATATTTACTTATTTTTTTAAAATGCATTTTTGTACTTCTTTTTGAGGAAAATTACCCGATTAATTGTAATTGCCCAAATTAAAGTTTGATTTTAATACTGAGCCTTGAAGGACACCGTTGGAACAATTTATTTGAATAGATTTTGAGTCATTGACTGAGACAAACTGGGACCTGTTGTAAAGATAAGAAGTAAACCATTAAAGAGGAATTCCTCTGATTCCATAATATTCTAATTTCTTGAGTAGGGTAGAGTGATCTAATATATTAAAAGCTTTTTGTAGATCTACAAAGACACTAGATGCCAAGTTTTTATTGTCAAGAGCTTTTCTAATAGACTCAGAATTTTTAATAAGTGAGTAAGTTGTGGAATGATTAGCACGAAACCCATACTAGTGTTTGTGAAGACATTTAAATTTATTCAAAAATGCATAAAGCCTCTTATGTATAGCTTTTTCAAAGAGTTTGCTTAGGTTAAAAAAAAAGGGCGATTTTAGGATCTTTATCCTTGTTGAAACAGCAACACAATGTGCCTCCTTACAAAAATAAATATACCTAATAGAAATTTTAATGATCTTCATAATACAGATTTTAATTTTGTTATGAACTTTAATATATTGGAAAACGTAATACTGTTACTGAAATATCCAAATTTGTGCAAAGATAATGTTTATTTAATGTCTGATTCTTTAAAAAGTATTGTTTGAGCATTGGATTAAAAGTATGTTTTAACAGTTGCAATTGGAAAAATGAATTTTTTTCATCTAATACATTTTGTAAAAAAAAGTTAGTTGAACAACAAGAGCTTTGTAAAGGCAAATGCAGTGGAGAAAAACCATTTGATATTAACACACGTGTTATTGTGGCCTTTCGTGAAATGGGTAAAGGCTTATCATCATTAGAAAAACTTTGTGGAATAATGAATACGAAACCACCTGTGAATAAAAGAAGTTACAACTCAACGCTGCATAACCTGTTGGATGTTTACCAAATTTTAGTTGACAAAAATATGAAAAATGCTGCTGATGAATTAATCCCTCCAAGTGAAACATCAAGAGACATTATGTGTGGCTTTGATGGTTTATGGCAAAACACAGAATCCTAATGAGGCGCTGAATCGATTAATTTTAAAGCGGTGTCCAAAAGATATATTTGTTGAAAGAACTTCCCTATGTATTGGAGTGGTATCAGCTATTATTTACGTTAATAATGGACAACAATATTTGGAAAGATTATTTGACGAGTTTAAAATAACTGTAGGTTGTAGTTTACATCACTTTTGACTTAAGAATGACTCTAGGCGTATGTCTAAAGCCGAAAAACAATGTACAAGTAAAGTGAAAACAAGACGTAAGAAATTAAGAGCCATACAAAAAGGTTTTTTCCATCAAAACAAAAGATTAGAAGGTGCAGTTTATGGAAGCGGAGGTTTTTGATCAATTGTATTTATTTTTAAAATGAGTTTTTCTCAAAATCATGTTTTATAGCCTGGCGGCAGGGATATTTTTCAAACCAATAACCGATTTAATCTAAAATTTGGCACACTTGTTTGTATCACATGTATTTATAACCTCTACTTGAAATAAGTTTACAGCTTCTCGTGTCCTACTTTTGTGTGTGCTTTTGTGTGCTCAAACAACACAAACTTCCAAAAATGACTGAAGGCTTATATTTTGACTTTTTTTCATCTTATCTTAGTCTATGCAAGTCGAAAAAGTTATGTTAAATGAAAATATTTCTGTTACATAAACACGTGCCGAAGTTCACCTACAAGTCTCACTGAATGCCTAATTAGAGATCAAAAAGAAATTCTTTGAAATGCGTAAAATATTTTTATCCACCTAGCTCGTTTTAAGCAATCCACTGTTCGAAGAGTTAAATGAATAGAATGCGTCGTTAGAAAAGATTAAATGTTTTAAAGTTATAAAGATATTTTTTAGTACTAAAAATAGATGAATAAAATTAATTTTTTTTTGTGTTATCCTTGGAATTCTTCTGACTGCTTCTAACAATTATAGCTTAAATATATTTTTTTATGGTCAGTTGTTTATTTGAAAGTATTCTAAATGAAAACTAAACAAATATAAAATAGAAATAGCTTTTCAGTCAAATACTGTGCGGTGCTATCAATTTTTGCATTAATAGCAAAAACTGCGTGTTGATTGTGTCTGGTTGCCTGCTTCTATGTAAGAAAGAAGCAGGCAACTAGAAACAGAAGATTCGGTTTCAGGTATTTAGTAGTAATAACCTGATTTCTCTCTCTCTCTCTCTCTCTCTCTGATATATATATATATATATATATATATATATATATATATATATATATATATATATATATATATATATATATATATATATATATATATATATATATATTTATATATATATATATATATATATATATATATATATATATATATATATATATATATATATGTATATATATATATATATATATATATATATATATATATATATCATTTTATTGTATTCTATTCATAAACATGCAACTGAAATAAATTAGTATATTTATAGGGAATTTAATACTCTATTAAAATTATGTTATAATTTTAAAACATTAGTTAAAATGGCTCCGTACAAAACAAGTTTGCAAGTAGACCTAAGAAAACGCATTTTGCCAATTTAGAAATTTGCATCTGGAAAAGCCAAAAATATTCACAGTAAAACACTTTCTAGATGAAGGAGTATCGAAAGCATATATCGTGCTCTAGAACGTGTAGACAATAATTTAGGCTACCAACGAAAAATAGGAAGCGGTCCAAAGGCGAAAAAAATGGAAAAAAAGCAGATAGACCAATTGAAAAAATGCATTTGATCATCATCACGGTGTTTCGCAACGTCAAGTAGCTCGAAGATTTGATTATGACCAATCGTATATATCGAAAATTCTTAAAAACAAGACGAATATTAGATATTACAAGAAGAAAAAGATTCCACATCAAAGCAAAAGCCAAATAGCTCGAATCAAACTTTTGTGTCGACATATATATCGCAATTTTAGGAATTTTGATTTTGTCTTGGATGACGAATCATATTTCACATATGCAAATACAACATTAGCTGACGTGTCATCTACAACTAGCGACATCAAATTCAAAAGAATGAAGATGTTTGAGGAAAAGGTGCTAGTCTCTTTGACTATATTGCCCAAAGGGACCTCAAAACTAATGTTTTTTGAAAGTGGCTAGACAATTAACGAACAAGCATACATCGGATGTCTCCAAGGTTAATACCCTTCATTGATGAGCATTATAAAAATGAAGAGTACTTGTTCTGGTTAATTTTAGCTAGCTCGCATTATGCAAAAGAAGTGGTTTCTTTTTTCGGGGTCAGTTGAAACGCTAACACCTGACGCTAACACCTGACGACTAAAAAATGTCGCAATCAAAAGTTTGTAAAAGTTTGAAAAACTCAAAAAAACGATTTTCCCATATTTATTATTTTATATTTAAAACAAACAGTTTCTTGATATCGCTTTAAATATTAAAGCAATATCAAGAAACTGTTAGTTTTAAAAGCAAAGCTAGAACAGGACGACCAAAGATAACAACTCAAAGAGCCAGTGCCGGATCAAGGGGGGCTATAGCCCCGGGCCCCGCACATTTAGGGGCCCCCTAAAATTTTTGAGAACCTTTTTTTTTTTTTTTTTTTTTTCTTTTTATTTTTAGGCTCTGCCACATAAAAAGGCCTCCAAAAACAAAAATTGACTCGGGCCCCAAAAAGTCTTAATCCGCCACTGCAAAGAGCAGATAAATGCTTTCATTATTTGCCTTTCTCAAAAAAGTATTAAAGACCATATTACTTCCTATCAAAAATACGAGCACTGGTCAGCAGATGATTGACGAATTATTAATTGAAAAATTTGGTTACGCGAGAATAGGGTCGAGATCATTGACCTTTGGCCTGGTAACTCACCCAACCTCAATCCTATTTTAAACTATTGGAATCATCTTAAAAACAGTCCAGAAACTGTCCAAAAAGTTTAATTAATAAAACCATTTTATAAATTCTAAACAATACATGTTTCGATAATCACTAATCATCTTTAGTTGAAGTTAAATTTTTAAATTTGTTAAAATACCTATATGGGTGATTTTTACATAACCAATACAAAATGTAATTACCTCTGTACAAACTATTAATTTAATTACAAAAATATAACAAAGTCTATAATAAGAATAACAAGTCATACTAAAAAATGAATAGGAAGTGACGAAATATAACTTCAAGTGAAGATGACTAGTGATAGTCGAAACATGTATTGTTTAGAATTAATAAAATGGTTTTATTAATTAAAAAGTTTGTCTTTTTTATTAAAATATTACATTTTTTGTGCTTAAAAGAAATTTTGGATATATTATAAATGACATTGCACTTATGTATACACAACTTTCAAAGAAAGATTTTAGAAGATTGGAAAAATTGAATCATCAGTTAAATAAAGCCACTTTAGATATTGTGTTTTTGAATAATTGCAGAACTTTTGAAGCTTTACCAAAATTTATTGCATTTAATTTACCTGATGTCTCAAAATTTGATTCTCGTTTTATTAAAAAGATTACTAAGGAGTTCATTACAAAAACGCAACAAGGAAAAATTACAATTATGTAAGGAAATTAATACTTTACAAGATCGCATAAAAACGATTTTTGTTTGATTGGTTTATTTTAATTAAGGCGCTAAAATCTAATACACAAAAACGAAAATATAAAATTATAAAAATACATGAGAAGAAATTAAGAAGATTAATAATTGGTCATACAAATCCTTTTAATGTTTCAGATATCATAACTAATCGCTTTTTGTACAAACTCTCTGATGATGAAATAGACATCCTTAAAAAGTATGTCTATTTCATTTTCTATTCCACCAAAATATCTTAAACGTACTGATATTTACTCTTCTTACGAACTAATTTTTCGCTCTCTTCAAACAAAATTGAAAAATAATGAAGATTCAGGAAAACTTAAAGCTAAACTTTCCCATTTGGCAAATTCTGTATTTGCAATTATCGTCCTACTCAAGAAACTCTGAAAAAACATGGAATATTAAAAAAACTCAAATAATTTCAAAGATATCGTTATGCTAAAACTTACGTAAATGGTATTTATAAAATTATTGAAAAAACAAAATTTAAGCAACTTAAGAAAAATTTCACCTTAAATAGAGAAATTCAACTTTAAAAATTTTCGAAGGAAACTAAAAGCAAATGATTTTTTCAATGGTTCCACATACAACAGAATTTATCCTTCCTGATCCCATCCTGCTCGTATCTATGGTCTTCCAAAGATGCACAAGTTATCTTCCTCCAAGACTACCATAAACTTCAGACCTATTGTATCATTTATTGGTACCTACAATTATGAACTAGCCAAATTTCTTAGAGATTTGTTAACTCCATAAATTAGAGATTTGTTAACTCCATAAATTAGAGATTTGTTAACTCCATAAATAAACACAGAGTTTTGCACTTAAGATTCATTTTCTTTCGTTAAATAAGTCAGGTTAATCTACATAAACAATTCTTAGTATCGTATGATGTAGCTAGCTTATACACTAATGTTCTGCTTCAAGAAACCATTGATATCGCAGTTAATTCGATTATGCTTAATAATATAAATATTAAAATTACTAAAAACGATTTTAAAAAGCTATTTAATTTCGCTACCTCGAAAACACATTTTCTTTTTAAATGACATACTTATGATCAAATAGATGGTGTAGCCATGGGCTCTCCACTAGCAACTGTTCTTGCCAATTTGTTTATGGGTCATTTTGAAAATGACTGGATTAAAAATTGCAATAGAGTTAAGCCAGTTTTCTATCAACAATATGTTGATGCATTTTTGCTGCTTTTCAATCAGAAAATGAAGCACGTATTTTCCTTAATTATATAAATAGTAGACACAATTTTATTTTTTTCACCATGAAGCAAAATATATATATATATATATATATATATATATATATATATATATATAGTACTATATATATATATATATATATATATATATATATATATATATATATATATATATATATATATATATATATATATATATATATATATATATATATATGTATATATATATATATATATATATATATATATATATATATATATATATATATATATATATATATATACGCATATATATGTATTTATACATATGTACATACTTACATATATACATACTTACATATACAAACATATGTTTTAAATTATATTATAATTTTAAGATAATTTTCTTTTTTTTTAATGAAGTATACAACTCCTACGAAGATGTGTTTGACGATGTGAATTCAAACAAAGTTGAATATGGAGTTATAAACATTGATGTTTTGTTAAACTTGGATTATAAATTACTATATGAAAACGTTGCTCTCGTTAAGTTATTGGACGCAACTTCGCCTGTTTTAATAGCTTTTGGTAACGAAACCAACTTGATGGCTAACTTTTATTCATTTAATGAATCCCCAACAGATGAAGTTTTTAATTGTTTAAAAAGATTAAATATGAAAAATATCATTAAAGATGTGCAAGAGATTTTTCAAATAATTCCTAATGTATGATTTATAAGTTTATAAAATTTATAAGTATTTAGTTGTTGTATGCAAACTATATATTATATCTATATATTTTTTATTTTCATAAATTATTTATTTATCTTTATTATTTTTAAGCTTTAATTTTATATTGATTTTTTCTTTCAGATTGACATAGAAGCTGTGCAAAATATTACCGACCTTTTAACAGTTAATTACATATTATATACATTAATAATTATGTTAATACTAGTAGTTTCTTTTTCCATAAAAGATGTTATTTCATTTATTTATAACATTTATAATGGAAAAAAGCAAAACAAAATAAGCGATGTTAATACAAATGTTCCCATGAGTTTATTTTTTAACAAGGACTTCAATGAAGAGCCGACATCTATAAATAATTTGCTGGAAGAGTTGGCAACAGTCAAGGAAAAATTGATGAACGTACACGCTGTTGTTTTGTCAAAACAATTTTGTCAAGTGTGTTCAAAACAACCACAAAAAACATTGCCTTCGTAAAAAATATTTTTTTTAAAGTATTAATTTTTTTGTTTTAAAGCTATTAGTACATTTTTCTGTCTTTATATATTTATTTATATAATATATACGAGCACGACGAAGTCATTTATTATTTATTTCAAGTCACGTAATAATATTTTAAACAAAATTATTTATAATAAATTTTTAATTGTAATATAATAAAAAATTCAAATTTAAATATAAAGTACACATTGTTTGTAATTTATTGTCATGGTTTAATAAATGCATGTTTTTCTATGTACAAATTTAAAAAAGATAAGATATTAGGCTTACCGTTTTGTGATTGTACATGATTAAAGAATGATTCGATCATAAGAATTGCATCAGAGCCTCTAAGAGTGTCAATGGCGCCCCTATTTCAAACCATAAAATTACAAAATTTTAATTTTTTTTGAGTAGCTGTAGTGAATACTTTCGCTTAAAAATTGTTTTGCGCGCATTGTTGAAAGGCAAAAAATTTCAATAAAATTCTCTTTTTTCACATTTTTTGGATAAAACAGTGTTAGTTACAAGCTTTGAATGAAAAGTTTACCATTATCCAACCAGATTAATGAAAGCATATTACCAACTATCCTGTTCGCCTCAAATCTTGAATCAGTACGTAGCCCAACGAAACCGTTCAATCAAACGTAGCTCGTCATCGATGGTAATGGCTTTAGATTGTAGAAGACAACTAACGTCGTTAACCTTAATAAAGGTTATGTACCGAATTTTAATTAACAATACAAATTCAAAAAATAACAACCATTATTTTAAGGTTCTTGCTTAGCCGAGCTGCTTACTGGTCTGATCAAGGTTTTCTATGACATGCTTGAGAGCTGCCAATATTTCTTTCGGCTTCATAGCAGTGGTTTGATTGCATCGATACAAGAGCTTGTCGTAGCAAGTCTATGAAGTGAAATTATTGTCGCTTCAGGATTTTTTATTGGGTGTGATTATCGCGAGTAAGGATTTTCTATCGAGCTGGACTTGCACTGAAAAATACGTACAAAGATTTAATTTACTAAGGATTGAGCTCCTTAGTAAATTAAATTTTTGTACTTGGTAAATTAAATCTTTGAACGGGCACTCATATATATATATATATATATACTGACAAGAAATTTTCCATTACCTTTCCAATTCACGTGCGTTGCTTCACCTGTAAACATAATTGTATAATTAATATAATTATATAATAATTAACTTAAACTATAGCAACAATCGTGTAATTTAAATTAATATTGAGAGAACTTTTTAATAAGTTATCTAAAAAAGTTATCAAAAATCCACAAAGAGTTTTCCTCCATTTAGCTGTCACAGAATTGATTCACGTTTGGAACTTTGAATCTATACCAGATGATCTGGTACAAAAAATGTTTACACCTTTTCAAACCATGTTAAACCTTTAGTGCAATGAACTGGATTAATGCTGCTTTACACGATCTTCATATTTTCTCTATTTATTCCTTGCCCCTCTGTTCTAACAAAGAAAAGACAATTACCCATATTTGATTACTGCTTTTGCGCCCAAGAGAGAACCAGAAAAACCGTCGAGAGCCTTGGTGGTCAAACCCCGAACCAAAAAACCACTTTCTTTCTACTTTTTTTCATATTAGGCAAAGATTGGTAAAATGTATTCAAAGAAAAATGTCTCTGTTCAGAATCACAGGGATAATCTCTAGTTTGATAATTTTGGCAAAGTGCAATGGCAAGGTAAGTCCGAAGAAGAAATCCGAGATGAAAGATTTATAGAAATTGCACGGTCACAATCACCTTAGGGAGAAAAAGGAGAAACTGAACACGAGCTAGGATCAGAGACAAAACATAAATCAACGAGTGAAGGTAAATGATAAAGAGTTGTCAGAAAAACGAGTCACAAAGTTAACAATCTAAGTAAAAGATTAAGAAATGCAGAAGTTATAGGCTTTAATGCCTGCAGGGTTATTTGCGTTAGAGCCACGCCATTCAGTGTGATAAGTATTAAAGTCACCAATAACAAAAACATTGGCAGGGATAAATGAGAAAGGGCATGGTCAATATTATCGCAAATTAGATCTAAAAGAGTGCAATAAATCTAATATTGTTCTCTTTTTTGGGAAAAAAGAAAACAATAAAAAACAAGCAGAAAGGTAATGGAATGAAGAGGAACCGAGTTTCACAAGATAAGCCGTATGTATACTCCCAAGCCAAGAATATAACCGTTGAAGTCTAAGTGAATTAAAAGAAAAGTACTCATTAACACTGAGATCTAAAGAAGGAAAAACAGAATTTAAATTAGTCTCACCAAAAGAAATTAAGTTTGGTAAATATTGCAAGAGGTAAAATTCAACTAATGAAAGGTTGCTTCGTAGACCACAAATATTTGTAAAAGATTTACTAAAAAACAGTTAGAGACCCATAGAATATTGTTAGAACAATGCTACTATTATGTATAATAGATTGACGCATGCGCAGATCGCTTTTATGACGTCACACAAAATTCCGCGATGACAAGAAACGAAATTGGCACTAATTTGAAAACTGATTTTTAAATTTAAAAAATTGATTTAAAAATTAATTTGTTAATTATCCAATTTTAACACAATGGATGACTTTGCACCATAAATTTAATTAAATATATGGTTGAATAGATGGTTGAAAATGAAAACGAGCAAGAAGTCTCATCTTTCTACTACTGAAGATATACTAAAAAACAGTTATTTGGTGGGAATAATTTTTATTTTATAAATATTTGAATATTTAATATTTTGGGTTACTTTTAGTATGATTTAAATTTAAAGAGAACTTAACTCATTTATAGATATCTATAAAAAGTAAAAAAAAAATAGATATCTATAACAATTATTTCCGTCAAACCGATAACCATATGGTTATCGGTTTGATAACCGTTAACCGATAACCATATGATTTTCGGTTTGACGGAAATAATTGTAGGAAATAGTTGTAGATTATTTAAAACAGCCAAGGTTTCTCGTAGGTGATTTCAACCAATGTATTAAAATTTCCCGATGTTTCTTTTGATTTTTTTTTTCTAAATTTTTAAAGAAAATTTTATATAACGTAATTTGCAATTACTCGCAATATCGTTAAATCTTTTGAAAACTTGCAATGTACGTTGGGAGTTTTCAAAGATTTATCAAATGTTTTCGATACTACTGATCATAAAATTCTACGTGAAAAAATTGAATATTATATAATTAAAGTTATTTAAGCAGACAAGAACAGATTGTTTATTCAACGTATTGTTTTTTCAACATTTTGATTGTTATTCAATCAAACTATCTGTTGGTTCCCTGTGATTCCTTTGATTATCTAGACTGAATAGTTGTTTATATTATCAAAAAATGGCGGAATACGCCATGCTTTCCTTTTAGTATAATTCAGAATAATAAAGACATAAAACGGGTTGGCGAGAATATTAGAGCTCTCCATCGGAGAGATCTAACACACTTCCTCCTTGAACAAAACGCTCAACAAACTATAAAACAAATTAGATACAAAATTAAAATTGTCCCATTAAGCGTCTTATTAGTATTCCGTTTCTTGATGCTATTCGTACAGGTCTTTCGTATTTCGTATCAGACAAATCGTTACTTTCATCTACAGCATCGTTGCTGGCGTTTAGCTCTGTATCAGTTACTGTTTCGACTGACTTGACTTCTATAGGGTATAGCTTTTCGATAGGACGCTTAATATAATTTTGTTTGTTTGTTTTATCTGTTAAGACTTTTACTATTGCAGAACGAACTATGTTATCGCTTCCCGTAATCAGTGACACTACTTTTCCTAATCGCCATTTGTACCTTTTAATATCAGAGTGAATAACAACAATTTCTCCCAGTTCAATCGATCGACTCTTACTGGATCCCTGCTTGTGGAATTCTCTAAGATTAACTAGATATTCACTTGTAAATCTTACCCAAAAATGATCACGTATCAGTTTTAAATATTTCATTCGTTTAGTTAACTGAATCTTACTTTCAAGCTTGTCAAGATCTGCCCCTTTAGTTTCGTTAGGTGAAATAAGTCTTCGACCATGCATCAAATGGGAAGGGGTAAGAACTTCCTCAGTGTCTTCATGGTAAGCGTATGTTATTGGTCTTGAGTTGAGAAGACCCTCTATTTCACAAAGAATTGTTTCCAGCTCGTCATATCTGATGCTACTTCTAAACACAACCTTGAGTAGCGATTTTTTGACCGATTGCACTAGACTTTCCCAAAAACCACCCCACCAGGGAGCAGCTTCAATAATATATTTCCAATCGATTCCCAACAACAAAAGCTCCTCGCTTAATTTAACTTCTTCATTCTTAAAACATGTGGCATTGTCTGATATTATAAGATTTGGAATTCCTCTTCTTCCAATAAAACGTTTTAAGCATAGAACAAATGATTTCGCAGATAAGTCAGGTACTTAGTCCAGGTGAACGGCTCTGGTGGTGGCGCAGGTAAATAACACTACGTGCACGGGATACATTTCAGTAGAATTATCATCGAATATCGGTTTAACGTGCAATGGTCCTAAATAATCAACTCCAGTATGCTGGAAAGGAAAACTTGCAGTGACACGATAGTGAGGCAACGGTGGTGACACTTTAGATGTAAAAGCCTTCCCAAACAACCTTTTACAGAATGAACATTTGTTTATCAATGAGCGTACAAGCTTACGACCTCGTAGGATCCAGTATTTTGACCTTATTTGGCAGAGAGTTTCCTTTACACCTGCATGTAGAGTTCGTTTGTGAGCCTGACATATTAATAATTCTGACAAATAAGATTCACTTGGTAGCAAAATTGGGTGTTTAGCATTATAAGGCAGTATTGAATTTTGTAACCGTCCTTTACAACGAACTACTTTATCCTCGTCGACGAAGAGACCTAAAGTGTTGTTCAGAATTTCCACTTTGTTAGAAAGGTCACACTGGTAGGTTCGGATCCAAAGAATTTCAGCTTTTCGAATATCCGCAATGCAAAGAGATTTTGTCTGATTATTGGCTTTATTTATAAGATGCTTAAGACTAATTATAAATTTTAACACATAAGCTGTAACTTTAAAAAGTTTGTGCAACGAACTGAATCGCTCAACGTTGATTACATTACGCATATTCAAGCCGCCGGTTTCAAGAGCTTCTTTTACTTCACTATTTTCTGTGCTGAATTTCGTAGGGTTTACATTTACGACCACGCTAAGATTTGATATTTCGTCAGTTTTACTTTTGTTGAATATATCGGATGGTTCTGCCGGCCAATATGAGAGATCTTGATAAAGAAACTCAGGTCCATTCATCCAATTTTCAAACCAATTACCAGATTTAAGGATTGAGAGGCCCCTTGAGGGCAGATCCACTGGATTGATTTTGCCAGGGCAGAATCTCCAGTGATTAGGTGGAATGTTTTTCTTTATTTTCGTTATTCTATTTGTAATGAATTGGTTTCTGTTTGCAGAACTATTCTTTATCCAGCATAAAGCATCCTTTGCATCGCTCCAACAGTAAATATTCTCTATTTTAAGGGTACTATTTAAAGACTCAATTACACATGCCATAAGTGAAGATAGCAGTAGACAAGAAGACAGTTCCAATTGAGGAATGGATGTAGGTTTTAGCGGAGAGATCTTTGTTTTGCTGGCAATAAGTCTACCTAGAATCTGTTTATCAGGAGTTTGGGCAGTTATAAAAACTACAGCTGCGTATGCACTTTTGCTGGCATCACAAAAGCCATGTATAGTTATGTTAGTTAAGTTTTTTATTAAATGTTCTTTAAAGAAATAGCGATGCCACTCATACACAAGATTACAAGATAATAACTGCATTAACTGATTCCACTCATTTTTTAATTCGTCATTTAGCTCCTGGTCCCAATTTTTTATTGTAGTGCATATTTTTTGAAAAATGAGCTTTAGTGGTAAAATTAAGGGAGAAATGATTCCGATTGGGTCATATATAGATGCAATAATTTTTAGAATATTTCTCTTTGTGACTCTTTTATTTGTTCCAGCTTCATATTGTTTAGTTAGATTAATTGACAATTTGTCATGACCAGTGTCCCATGTGATGCCTAGGATTTTTCTTTCCGTACTTGGGTGATCTTGTGGATTGAAAGATGATATATTTGAAATAAGGCGACTGTTATTTGAACGCCATTTTCTAAGGTTTAACCCTGCTGTCTTTAGACGTGATTTTGCTTTGAGGCAAAATTCGAGTACCTCATTTGATGTATCTCCTCCTGCAATGCTATCGTCAACATATAAATTTATTAAGAAATTGTTCACAAATTCTGGATCGCAATGTTTGTATTGATATAAATGTTTCATGATAGATACTAATAATAAGAATTGTGACGAGTTCATACCAAATAGTACTCTAGTATAGCGATAAGAGATAACTTTTGGATTGCTGTTGTTTACATTGTCGAACCACAAGAATCTCAAAAAGTCACGATCATTTTTGTTTACAGCAATGTTGAGAAATGCTTTTTCGATATCACTAGCTACTGCTATTTTGTAAGTCCCAAATCTTATAAGAATATCAATTAACATGGGAAGCAGGCAAGGACCCTTTTCCAAACAATCGTTTAATGAAGGACTATTTGACGATGCATCAAAGACAATTCGTAATTTTGTGGTAGACTTTTCCTCTTTGATTACTGCGTGATGCGAAAGATAATGGACTTGTCCTACGAGTGGTGGAAAATCGGGGATTCTTTCTATAATTCCTTCATGTTCCTGCTTACGTATAATCTCATTGTACTGTTGCAATAAGTTTGGATTTTTCTTGAGACGATTGTAAGTGGATAGCAATCTGAGTTTGCTTTTCTCATAATTATCTGGAATCTGTTTGCGTTCTTGTTTCCAAGGTAGAGGTACGGAATATCTCTTACCATTAAACTGGACTTTGTCATAGAAATTTTTTAAGTCAAAGGTTGTGTTTATTTCATTAATATCTTCTAATTCCCAGAATTTACCAAGACTGCCAAGATCGTCAGAATTAACTAAGATTGGTTCAGAAGATGTATGAAGAACAGATGCTATATTTACAGAAGCAGAATTAATTGATTTAACATTTCCATTAAGGGTCCAACCAAGAATTGTGTTTACTGCGGTTAGTGATTGGTTTGCTCTAATTAATTGTCCTGTTACAAAGTTCCAGTAGTAATTTGCACCTATTAATATGTCAATTTCTTTTCCATCTTTGAAATCATCAGCTATCGGTATATTGGCTAATTCTGTGTGCTGCAATTTTGCAAGGTTGATTTGTTGATTGATAATAGGAGAGCATATGATTGGTGTAACATATGCTTCGATAGTAGAATAATGATTGGTTTGGATGTTTTTAATTTTAATACTGACAAGGTCAAATTTTCGAGGCTTTTCACAGCTTTCTCCAAACACTTTTACATTTAGAACTTCGTTTCGAATAGTTTTGAGATTCAACTTCTTTCTTACATCAGATGTCACAAAGGACTTTTGAGAGCAATTATCAAATAACACTCTTGCAACAATTTTAGTTTTCTTTATTGAGTTGCTTGTGTCTGATATTTCAGCTTTTGCAGTTTGTAGGAGAATATTATCTTGACAACCAACAACATTGACTGAGGTGTCTGGTATGGTTTTATCTGAATTTGAGTTTACATAAGCTCCAGCATTGTTTTTTTTATCACAAATTGAAATATGATGCTTACCATTACACTGAAAACAAATATTTTTCGAATAACAATTTTTTACAGAATGTCCTGATTTTAAACAGTTATAGCATTTATTTTTGGTTTGAATAATACGTTTTCTTGCAACAACACCTGTAACAACATTACACTGATTACTTGGATGCTTACCTTTACAAAATGAACAAGAAATGAGCTTAACTGATTTGGGTTGCCACTCTCTTGGTTTTACATGTTTTTGTTGAGAGTGCAATGTTGATATGTATTTTGAAAAATATTAATATTTGGAGAATATTAGAGCTCTCCATCGGAGAGATCTTACACTATCTAACTTATTTGATATAACCTGCGGGGTATCCTAGGGCTCAAGATTCTATTGCGGCATTTGCCCAATAAGGGACATTAAAAGAAGCACGAACTTCCTGCTTCAATGTTTTTGCGCGATGCTAAGTAAGACCTTACCAACTAAAAGTAATACATTGACGTATCAAAGTTAAAAACTTTCTAAAGGAATTTGCTGATTACCGTACGTTTTTCTTAGCAACAGAATTATTGTATTGTTAAATCGACAGAAATCAGGTCGTATGTAAATTAGCTACAAATTTAAAATTTAATAATTTCCTTATTTGTTTGACTCCTTGAATAGTTGGATTCATTTTGTGTTTTAGTCTTTCCAAAATACTAATACTTATAAATGGTTAGTATTTTTATTTAAGTTTTTTTTTTTTAATATTAAATGTAAAGTAAAGTTTAATTGAATTTAATTGAATTTAATTGAATTAAAGAAGAGTATATTGTTTTAAGTCTAGCTCTGATGAAAGATATGCATTTATTGCAGAATGGTATGATGTTAATGCAGCCTTGATAAGAAATTATCATTTTCTTTACTATCAAAATGACTCTACAATTGAAATGGTGTGTTTTAAATAATATGCTTTTTATTTTTTACAAATTTGGTTTTTAATTTCTATGTTGTATGCATACATACATGCCAAAATACGTACATACATATAAACATAGATAGATACATGTATGTATGTATGTATGTATGTATGTATGTATGTATGTATGTATGTATGTATGTATGTATGTATGTATGTATGTATGTATGTATGTATGTATGTATGTATGTATGTATGTATGTATGTATGTATGTATGTATGTATGTATGTATGTATGTATGTATGTATGTATGTATGTATGTATGTATGTATGTATGTATGTATGTATGTATGTATGTATGTATGTATGTATGTATGTATGTATGTATGTATGTATGTATGTATGTATGTATGTATGTATGTATGTATGTATGTATGTATGTATGTATGTATGTATGTATGTATGTATGTATGTATGTATGTATGTATGTATGTATGTATGTATGTATGTATGTATGTATGTATGTATGTATGTATGTATGTATGTATGTATGTATGTATGTATGTATGTATGTATGTATGTATGTATGTATGTATGTATGTATGTATGTATGTATGTATGTATGTATGTATGTATGTATGTATGTATGTATGTATGTATGTATGTATGTATGTATGTATGTATGTATGTATGTATGTATGTATGTATGTATGTATGTATGAATTATTTATTCTTATTAATAATATATACATATATTTATTACCTAGATATATTTTATGATATTAATCATTCTTTTTATTAGTTTGATATACAAAATAAAAGAGTATTTTTAAAGCGCTCAAAGTTTGAAAATTTGTCTATCAAAGATTTGTATGTTGGTTCCATTATAAATGTTCATGCTAGACAGGTAGGTTATATATTATTAATAGATATTAATAGTGTATATAATTTGTATCAATATATATACACACATACACACACACATATATATATATATATATGTGTGTATATATATATATATATATATATATATATATATATATATATGTGTGTGTGTATATATATATATATATATATATATATATATATATATATATATATATATATATATATATATATATATATATATATATATATATATATATATATATATATATATATATATCAGGGCTGTGGAGTCAGAGTTAGAGGTGCGGAGTTGCAACAATTTTAGCGGAGTCGGAGTCGCTAAAGAAAATCTTGACTCCGACTCCTATAGTAAAATTTCTTGGTATTGCACATGCAATTACAAAAGATTCAATTAACCTTATGTTCATACTAAACCTCAAAGAACGTTTCATAAATTTGCCAAAAAAAAAATTTAACTTATCACGTAATGTTTTTTAAAGAATCCAAAGAATTTTTCAAAAATTTTGCTTTGGAGTTGGAGTCGGAGTTGGAGTCGGAGCTGTTACTTTTTTTTTACGACTCCACGCCCCTGATATATATATATATATATATATATATATATATATATATATATATATATATATATATATATATATATATATATTTATATATATATATATATATATATATATATATATATATATATATATATATATATATATATATATATATATATATATATATATATATATTCAGGGCTGTGGAGTTGGAGTGGGAGTTGCAATATTTTCAGCGAAGTTATAGTCGCTAAACAAAATATATATATATATATATATATATATATATATATATATATATATATATATATATATATATATATATATATATATATATATATATATAAATATACAAAAAATATTGCATACTAAGGTAAGCAATCTGACATCATACTTAAATAGCCTGCTGCTGCGGGCTTCAGTACATACATCGACAGACAAATAGCTTGATTCGCAGTGGAGTGCTGCTACATCGACTGAGGGTTTGGGATGGGACAGCAATTGTTTCATTCATCGTAGTAAATTTTTGTTAATAGTTCAATAATTTTTTTTGAATATATATATATATGTGTGTGTATATATATATATATATATATATATATATATATATATATATATATATATATATATATATATATATATATATATATATATATATATATATATATATATATATATATTTATATATATATATATATATATCAGGGCTGTGGAGTCAGAGTTAGAGGTGCGGAGTTGCAACAATTTTAGCGGAGTCGGAGTCGCTAAAGAAAATCTTGACTCCGACTCCTATAGTAAAATTTCTTGGTATTGCACATGCAATTACAAAAGATTCAATTAACCTTATGTTCATACTAAACCTCAAAGAACGTTTCATAAATTTGCCAAAAAAAAAATTTAACTTATCACGTAATGTTTTTTAAAGAATCCAAAGAATTTTTCAAAAATTTTGCTTTGGAGTTGGAGTCGGAGTTGGAGTCGGAGCTGTTACTTTTTTTTTACGACTCCACGCCCCTGATATATATATATATATATATATATATATATATATATATATTTATATATATATATATATATATATATATATATATATATATATATATATATATATATATATATATATATATATATATATATATATATATATATATATATATATATATATATTCAGGGCTGTGGAGTTGGAGTGGGAGTTGCAATATTTTCAGCGAAGTTGGAGTCGCTAAACAAAATATATATATATATATATATATATATATATATATATATATATATATATATATATAAATATACAAAAAATATTGCATACTAAGGTAAGCAATCTGACATCATACTTAAATAGCCTGCTGCTGCGGGCTTCAGTACATACATCGACAGACAAATAGCTTGATTCGCAGTGGAGTGCTGCTACATCGACTGAGGGTTTGGGATGGGACAGCAATTGTTTCATTCATCGTAGTAAATTTTTGTTAATAGTTCAATAATTTTTTTTGAAGGTAAAAAAACATTATCCTCTTTAAACAAAATAATTATTAAACCATTAACAAAAATTTAATGAAAGGGAAAATGCAGTTTTTTTAAGTTTCCTGTAAGTTTTCATAGTTGGACTTCCGCCCTTTTAACATTCACCAATTCATATATATATATATATATATATATATATATATATATATATATATATATATATATATATATATATATATATATATTTATAAATGTATATATATATATATATATATATATATATATATATATATATATATATATATATATATATATATATATATATATATATATGTATGTATATGTATATTTATATGTATATTTATATGTATAATTATATGTATATATATATGTATATGTATATGTATATTCATATACATATACATATACATATACATATACATATGCATCTACACATACATATACATATACATATACATATACATATACATATATATATATATATATATATATATATATATATATATATATATATATATATATATATATATGTATATATATATATATATATATATATATATATATATATATATATATATATATATATATATATATTTATGTAGTTCGGTGTAATAGTTTTTTTTGGTATTTTTTCTTAAGTGAAAATATTGAAAAAAAAAAATTAAATAACTACTTATATATGTTTAAAGAAAAAGGATTTAATTAAAAGTAAATTAATTAATTTATTAATTAAAGATTGACATTTTTGTTGTAGTCAATATCCGTTTCATATCGTTTCTCTTTGTTAATCTAAGCAAAGGTTTTATTATGTGAAACAAAAAGGTTGAAAGTTAAAACCGCAAAGAAACGTTTTATAAATATTTGAAACATTTGTCATTATACTAAGACTTGTTTTTTTTTTAGAAAAAATAAAATTTCTATGTGCATTATTAATTGTATTCTAATAATGCATCTCATTAATGTTTTTTATTTTGTTAATTTTGTTTGACAATGTTAAAATAAAAATTTATTTTTTAAATGAAAAATAACAGAGATTGTGTTATTAATTATATTATTTATATAATGCACCGTAGTGTACTCATTATTAAACGAAGTATATACTACTTTAAACGGTTTTTAAAGTTTTCTTTTAAAATAATCAAAAGGAATAAAATCTTTAAAGATGAAAGTATTGTTTTATTAATAAACACGTAAGTAACAAACTTATTAATAAACATGTAAGTAACAAACACACGTAAGTAACAAACTGTCTGGTCATCCTGCCAGGTTACTGACAGGCATTTTTTTAAAAAACTTTAGTTTGCTTTGTTGCCAAGTTGCCCTTGGATAAAACAAGTTATTCCTTGCCACTGGATGACCATGAGGGTACACCCCTTTAAGTATAGATTTATTCTTTTTAGATTAAAATGTTTTTAATTCAGCACATTTTGCTATTGTAACTTTTTGTTCTTATAGCAACAACAGTACCTAAATTGAATTGCGACTTTCTTTATAAAAATGACTTCAGTTTCTACAAATGAGAAAATGTAAAATCTCAAGCACTTTAAAAAATAAGTATTCTTGATTTGCTAAAGGCCTCAATTAGAATGAGGCAAAATAAATGATTTGTGATATTCACTTGTCTGTTGCTAACAAAGTAGCTACTGAATTAAAGCGCAATGTTAACAGCCTTAAAAATCTAATCAAAAAGAAATTGTTCTATTTCATATATTATTTTCTAATACAACATTAGCGGATATTATACTTTGTTGTTTATTCTTATATATATATATATATATATATATATATATATATATATATATATATATATTATATATATATATATATATATTTTACTTCTCTTTATTCTTAAGCTCTTAAAAACATTAAAAACAATTAGTTGAGTTTATTACTTATAATGACTCTGACTTAAATAGCAAGAACTTTAGCACTACCATTAAAATATGTAAAGTACTGCATATAATTTTGAGCATATGTATAAATATGTAAAGTACTGCATATAACTATGAGCATATGTAAAAATATGTAAAGTACTGCATATAACTATGAGCATATGTAAAAATATGTAAAGTACTGCATATAACTATGAGCATATGTAAAAATATGTAAAGTATTGCATATAGAAGTTATACTAAAGCGTTCAGCTATTTTTTTTACCTTGTTATTGTTTTTTTATGATGAGCAGCTAAAATTAACAGATTATGCAGATCAGTTGACTAAAAATAAATTAGAAAAAAGCAGATCAAGGTAAGTAATTTTTTCATTATTTTTTTTCCTTTACTTTTCTTTTTGAATTTGTTGAATGGTCTTGACATTTACAATTTAAGCTGATTTTAGAGGCTTTTTGCTTTAGAATATAGAAAAAAGTGTTATGTTTTCATAAAACATAATAAAATCTTACATTTTTTGCAGGACATTTGCAATGATAAAGCCTGAAGCACTTATACATTCTGGTGCAATCATTAGTAGAATTTATGAAGAAAATTTTCTTATCTGTCAAATAAAAAAAGTTCAGTTAACAAGGTTTGTTATTTTGGATTCAACTATTTTAACACAGCATTCATAATATCTCAACAGGATAGGTCAAAACTAAAGAATATTCTAAAGAAAAATCTAAAGAAACATGTAGATTTGATTATTATTTAGAACGTGCAATTTAAGTTAATCCGGTAAAAAATTATTCCAGTAAAAAATGAGCTAGCCACTAGCTAGCTATTAGCTTATTTTTATTACTAGCTGTTGTTTTTAACGAACAGCTGTTTGCTAGAATTATTATTATTATCATTACCAGCTATTTGCTAGTATTATTATTATAACTAGCTGTTCGCTGTTATTATTACTTCGCTAGTATTATCATTACTAGCCATTCACTATTAATATTAAATAGCTAAAAGCAACCCGTAATACGAGTTTTGATCAGTCTGTTACATAATTAGTTTATAGTGGCTGTTTTCCACAATTTAATGTTGCAAAACCTTAACTAATACCCTTTTAGAAAAACGCCTTCAGCTTGAAAAAGTTAATTCATCTGTAATAATTACATAAAAAGTATAAGGTAAAATAATTTACCAATTACTACTTGACATTATTTGAGTAATTTACAACTGACTTAGGTCTTAACAATGTAAGGCAGAATCATTTTTATCAACCTTCCTAAGTTCAACACAATACATTTTTAGTTACTGACACAAAATAATAACACTTCATCATGCTTTATTTGACGAAAGTATCAACTAATCCTTGTAATAATTTTTATAACATGAACCATTAAGGTTACAATGAAATTAACTTAGCAAAAAGTAACCCATAATACGCGTTATGGTCGGTCTGTTACATAATTAATTTATAGTGGCTGTTTTCCACAATATAAAGTTGCAAATTCTTAACTAACACCCTTTTAAATACCAACTAAATTCTTGTAATATTTTTTATAACATAAACCTTAATTATTTATTAAAAGTTAACTTATATTATATTATACAGGAGTTATAAACTTTTGGTATCCCCTCTCAGGTTAAATTTTTCTTTAGAAAAGAAAATTTGTTATCTTAACAACGTTAAATGCACTTAACTAAATAAATTTATTAAAAATAACTAAGTTTATTATAAATAACTAAGCGATTGAGTACAAAAACGTTTAAAAAAAAATTAAATAATTTACAATCAAACATGTGTATAACAAATTTTTTAAAAAATGTTAACTTTGATCTTTTATATTGCGTCATACAACAAACCTAAAATAAAAATTGTAACAGATAAGTAGACATAAAAAAATAATAAAATAAAGTAGACATTAAAAAGAAAGAAAAAATGACTGGAAAACAATTTACCTGCTTTTGGTAACCTGTTATCGTACTTCAGTTGCTGTCATGATGCAACAGTTTTTGTTGGTGTTGTTTAATGACGTTATTTAATGTTGGCTTTCAGTAAGCTTTAGTTTAATTTAGAAGACATCACAATATATTTAAAATATTTAAATTAAGAGCAAAATAAAATGCTTTAAGGGGCTAAACTATAAATATTTAAGATAAAATATCAAATTGTGATATAAATTAATTGCATTTATATAGCTAAATATAGTCTTGGCTTATAGTAAATTTTAAAAGAAGCAACTACAATATATTATTTTTAACAATTGAATGTAGCATCATTATACTATGATAATTGGATGAATCAATTTAACTGTATTTTAAGTTTAATTTAGTTTTCATTTTAATTAAAAAAGAAGAAAACAAATCAAATATACAACAGAATATATTAACAAAAAAAAAAAAAAAAAAATTACAAACTTAAACAAAAAAATTGCAATTAAAAAAAAAAGTTACAATATAAAAAAAAAAAATAACAGAATAAAAGGCAGCAACAAAAAAGTTATAAATATCATAACTGATAGAAGTTATTTATAACTCTTTTTTTGCTGTTTGATCTTTGGTGTCTCCCAACACCCCGGTATGGATGAACCCTCCATTTGAAAGAGGACTCATCCATACCACCATTAAAACACCACTTATTGAAGGACCTCTCTGAGAGAGGCCCTGGGTGTTGGGAGCGATATTTTCTAATCATTTCGTATGTCGATTGATCTAAAATAACAAATAGAAGAATATAATTAAAGTTATAAATATTTGGAATTTTATTTAATCAAAATATAAAGCATAACCTCACCATTTTCAATAGTAACAGAATACGATGCTTCAAACATTAAACAAAAAAATGAGTAAATTAAAAAAATTTAAACGTAAAAAATTTTATTTTAATAAAAAGATAAGTAAAAAAGGAATAGTTAAAATGTCATATTTATTAAAAATTATAAAAACTTGCGATTTTATTGAATATAAATATAATCCATAACCTCACCAGTTTCATTGATGACAGCAGACGATGCTTAAACATTTAAAAAAAAAGAAAAGTAAATTAAAAAAGGTTAAATGTGAAAAATTTTATTTTAATAAAAATATAAGTAAAATAGGAACAGTTAAAAAATATCAATGAATAATAATAATAATAATTGATAGAATATTTACATATAAATAACGCTAACATAAATATATTTATCATTCGCAGACTGACCAGGATATAAATTTTCTGTTATTTCACGCCATTTTGGGTTGCAAGTAAAATTAATAAAAAGATCTGACTTACCATACTTTTTAATAATTGCCATAGCATCTTCAAACATTTCTTTTAAAGCTCTAGGACTTCCTACATAAGATGACGGCAAAACTACTACTCGCCCTGGTCAAATATTATGATCGTTTGCAATGTTGTTAACATGTTCATGTAAGGCATCATACTGCTCGCTTCTAAGTTTGTTTTGGTTATTTCTGATAAAAGCAAGACGCGGGTCTTCAATTTTGACATATGCATCAACAGCATATTGTTGAAATAGTTTCTTGCCATAAAATAATGAACAGAAAAATTGCCTAACAGAAAGTCTATAATTGTAGAACTGAGATAATGTAACATGATTTCTAACCAGTGTGGCACGCTCAGGGTTATGCAACAACTGATTATGCCTACTAGCATCACCTCTTGGGAAAAAGAGAGGATAAACCATAGGATCTAAGTTGGCTGACATACTTGATAAAATTTTTAAAGGATGACCTCTTGGGTAAATAACAACTTCCCTGGAAGTTGGGGGAGCGCCATCTTCACCAACAAATACAACAGCAACTTCATCATGTGAAGGTAGATTATAGCGGCGTCTATCACCCCTTCAAGTAAAGACATTTTTGCAACTGAGACTGAGCGACCTTCTGTAGCTGCTTGATGCACTTCTTCATCTTCTACTTCAGCCATGTTTTTAAATGCAGAAGCAAATGGACTTTGTTCAGTAATTATAGTTTGCAATTGAAACATTAAATCACAGTAAACAAAGATCATTACCAAGTTGTTGCATTCTAAAATTTACTGCTGCAAGTGGATCATATATATATAGTTAAGAATATATTGGTGGAATATCTTGATCTGGCTTAGGATTACCTACACAATGATAAATCTGGCCACATATTTTAAAACATGGAGGCCCATGATTTATTGGTTGAACTACATCTGCTTTAAAAGAAGCAAAAGAAAGACAGGCATTATAATTTTGAATATGTTTTAAAAAATTAACATTAGCATTACGATCTACATAACTCCCTGTAAATAAGTCCTATAAAACTTGTGTAAATGGTGAAAGTGGAGGCAAAGTTACCTTACCATTATGGCAACATAGAAAATGTTTTTCATCTGGAAATTTCTTAGCACTGCAGTGCTGACAAATTTGATTCATTTCTCCTAAATAATTATAATCTGAAATAACATTACTTCTTGCTATACAATGCATTCTTTTGTGTCTAGCAGCATATCTAGTATTTGTTTGGTTATTAATTTCATTTTGCCTCAGCCTATTTCTTGCATTTCTGCGACGATTATTTTTAACTTGCCTAATCACCCTGTCCTTATTTTGATTCAAATTATTTGAGGCTTGCCGTGCAGCATATCTAGCATTTTATATCCGTTATATATCCGTTAAAAGATGTTTAAACAAAAAATAAACTTATAAATATACAGCTATTCACGAAAGTTTAAATGAGAGTGTAATTTTGATCAAGTAGGTTTATTTTTTTCTTAATAAAAAAATAAATGAAAATGATGTCGACTTAATTTTTTTTATTTGTTAAATAAAAAGTAATTTGGTTTAGAATAAATGTGAACTTGTTATGAAATGATTTATATAAATTTAAAAAAAGTTAATTACAAACATAAACATGTGAAAAATGAGTAGCACAAAGTTTAAACGAAATTTTACAAACAAATAAAAAATGGAAATAAAATGCCAAGTTAATATTTAAAATGTCCGCCTTTGTTTTTATAGCAAAGGTAAACTTGTTTCTGCATCGACTCAACTAATTTCATGCACATCTCTCAAGACACCTTCAACCAGTACTCATTCAAAAGTTGCTTTAAGTGCTCAGTTGATTGTATTTGGTAATAAGTAAGTTGATTGTCAATCCAAGACCAAATATTTTCAATTGGGTTGAGATCTGGTGATCTAGGGCACCAAGGGATCACATTTATCTTTTTCTGCAAAAAATATTCTTTGATTGATTTAGCTGTATGAGCTGGAGCCCCGTCTTGTTGAAAGATAAATTGCTTGCTTCTACCATAAAACTGTCTGATTGATGGAATTAAACACGTTTCCAATGTATTTTTGTAGGTGTACTGATTTATTCGGCCTTCGTACAGTTCACACATACCGATACCTTTGTGAGAAAAACATCCCCAAATACCAATGGAATCTCCACTGCCTTGTCGACGTGGTTTCAAAAACCGTTCTGAATATTTCTCCGTTGCAAACCTTTTGACATATAGTCTTCCCTTGCGGTTTACAACTTGAAAATTAGCTTCATCACTCCAAATAACTTTTAACCAGTCTTCAACAGTCCAGCTTAATCTTTCTTTTGACCATATTCGTCGTTTACGTTGGTCCATGATTGATAAAGTAGGTTTTCTTGCTGCAATGTACGTTCCAATACCTT